GGGGAGGGAGGGAGAGACAGAGAGAGAGAGAGACAGAGGGAGAGAGAGAGGGGTACAGGTATAGAGAGGATGGTAAAGAGACACCTGCAGACAGTGGGAGAGAGAGAACTCATTACATCACTGTGGTAATTAAAGGATCTACTGTTTATTTATCCAGAGGGAATTCAAATATTACAAAACAAAGTACTAAACATACAATAAACATACATTAAACATACATTAAATATACAATAAACATACATTACATACATAACAAACATAAAATATATATATAATATATATATATTATATTATATATAAAATATATAATATAATATTATATTATATATATATTATATTTTTTATTATATTATGTCTCACCCCCACAGTCACACAGACCCATGATCCCTATCATTTGCAGTGGATTATGGGATGTGTAGTTCACAGTCGGAAACTGTTCAGTGGAGCTGATGAACAGGACAGAACATATTTCATATTTCATAGACGACTTTCATGATTTAATCATTATTTTAATGTTGAACTGATACTTTTAACACTTTGTTTGTATGTTGTATCTTTATGGAAGCTCATTAATGCCACACAAATATTTAAATCCAATCCAACATTATTATCACTTATTACACTTTCTATTTCATAATTACAATATATATTATATATGGAACATATTATATATATAATATTTAATATATATAATATATATTATATATTATATATATTATCTATATATATTATATATATAACATTTATTATCTATGTAATAATATATTACAATATATATTATATGTTCCATAAATATCACATGGGAGCAGCAGAGACTGAACATTGTGGTGCAGTGAGAGTACTGAGAGTAATCAGATTACTGAGAGTAACGGGGGATTACAGAGCTGCAGTGAGTAAAAGAGAACTTCCTGTTTGTTGGTCGGTGTCGCCCCCTGCTGGCCCTGCAGGCTCCGTGCAGGAGCACCGGCAGGTAAACAAGGAGGAAAACAAACAAACAGGCTGAATGTTTGTCAACAACAGTCCGCTGCAGCTCAAACTGTGACACACTGTTTACTGTGCGCACGCGCAGACGTTGTTTACAGTTGTGTTTGTTTGTGTTTGTTTATTTATGTACAGATAGTTCAGACTCCTCTCTGTTGTTGTTTGTGTTGATATCATCGTGTTGCTGTTAAACTTCCGGTTTTATTTGTTGTGGTGTTGTTGGACTGAGTTAGTGCGTGCGGAGGGATCTGCCGCCACAGGCGCAGCAGCAGCTGGAGTCGGCCTACCGCCGCCCCACGGTGCGTAAAAAGCCTTCCGCCGCGCTGGTTAGACCCGCTCGTTCAGCGCTTTAAAGCAGCAGAAATGTCCCTCACAGCCACCGTTTGACACAATAACAGCACACACGGCGCACAGGACAGACTCCCGCCGTCCTCTGCGCCGTCCTACAGCCCGCAGCGGCGGTGCGGGACGCGGCGGGACGCGGCGGGAGCGGAGCGAGGAGCGCGACAGCGACACGGTGGCCGCTGCGGAGAGCGAGCGAACAGCAGCTGATAAAAGCCTCCAGCTCCTGCTGACATTTTCTATCCGGACACAGCGGCTGGAAAACGGACAGTCAGAGCGCGGAGATGCCGGGGATGATGGATAAAGGCTCGGAGTATTTGGGGAAAGGTCGCTCGAACGGAACCAAGAGTCCGTCCAACGCTTCTAACGGACATTTTTCTGACGAGAGCGGCAGCGACGACGAACACGGCGAGTATAGCCTCGAACAGCCTCGAATGTGCGTGAATGTGCGCGGTTTTTCAGCGTGTCACTAACGCGCCTGTCTGCTGCTGATGTTTTCCAGATGTGGGGATGCGGGTCGGAGCCGACTACCAGGCCAACATTCCCGAGTTCGAGCCCGGTGAGAGTCCGCTGGTTTGTACCGGAGAGGCGGACCGGGGTAGCCTCGGTACAGCCTGTTAGTGTGTGTGTGTGTGTGAACCGAGGCTACCTCAGCCCGTCACACCACAGTGAATGAGACACTGTACAGCCCCTTTATTAACATTATTATTAACATTATTATCATTATTATTATTATTATTATTATTATTATTATTAACATTATTATTATTATTAACATTATTATTATTATTATTATTATTATTATCATTATTATTATTATTATTATTATTATTATAATAATTACACATCAATATTTAACTTTCATTACTGTCATTTGTTTTTAAAATGTTTTTTAGAGCCGATAAATTCACCAATATTCTGAATAATATTCTGAATAAACTTTATTAAAGATTATTAATATATTAATCTAATGAACACTGCGGCTATGAGCTGATTAATCGATCAGTTGTTTGAGTTTGTTCAGTAAACTGATCAATATTCCACCAATCGACCGATCGATCAGAAAATGGTAAAAATACTGATATTGTTAAACGCTAATATCAGTTTATCAGTTCGACTGTAAAAAAACAATCAGTATCAATAAATGATGCTAACGGTACGAAGCTATCCTACATTTCCCATAATGCAGTCAGCTGTGAAACACTTCCTGTCTGTGCGTTCAGGCTCCACCAAGTACTCGGACAAAGACAGCGGAGGGATGCTCGTCTGGTCTCCGTATCACTGCATCATCGACGCCAAACGTAAGTCCACTTCCTGTCTGCGTCCTGTCCTCTATCAGGTCCTCAGATCAGTCTGACTGTGTTCTCCTCCGCAGTGGACGAGTACATCGCCATCGCCAAAGAGAAACACGGGTACAACGTGGAGCAGGTGGGTCACCTGTCTCACTGCTCACCTGTGTGTCTCACTGCTCACCTGTCTCACTATTCACCTGTCTCACTGTTCTCCTGTCTCACTCCTCAGCTGTTGCACTACTCATCTGTGTCTCTCCCCACCTGTCTCACTGCTCACCTGTCTGACTCCTCACCTGTCTCACTCCCTACCTGTCTCACTCCCTACCTGTCTCCAGGCTCTCGGGATGCTCTTCTGGCACAAACACAACGTTGAGAAATCTCTGGCCGACCTTCCGAACTTCACTCCATTTCCTGACGAGTGGACGGTGGAGGACCGAGTTCTGTTCGAACAGGCCTTCAGCTTCCACGGGAAGAGCTTCCACCGGATCCAGCAGATGGTAACCACCCGCTCACACCTGTCTGTCCCTCCAGGTGTCTCACTGGGTTTGTGGTAAACGTTGTACTTTATGGCGTCCTGCAGTTACCGGACAAATCTATCTCCAGTCTGGTGAAGTACTACTACTCCTGGAAGAAGACTCGCTCCAGAACCAGTCTGATGGACCGTCAGGCTCGCAAGCTGGCCAACAGGAGCAACCAGGACGACAGGTAGGTCTCACACCTGGACCCGAGCTGCTCGGGGAACCTGTTCCTTAAAGCTGAACTGAATATTGGCTCGTTGTTGTTGCCGTAGTGATGAGGAGATGGAGGAGGCCAATCCCGTAGAAGCCAACGACAGCGACTACGACCCCAACAAGGAAACCAAGAAAGAGGTATGTTGGTTAACGAGAACTTCTGGATCAACCCTGAACCGCCGGGTTTCTATTGAACCAGTTAAATTCCTTCGTCTGATAATCTGTAGCAACGTTTCTTCGGCTCCTGGACGCCATAAACTGTTTGAACTCTGATTAAACGGCTCGTCCTCCGTCTTTCCGTCCCTGCAGAACCAGGTGGAGCCGGCGGTGCCGGGCTCTAAGGTGGCTCTGGGCCGGCGGGAGCACCAGACCCTCCAGCACCGGCACCACCAGCGCTCTCGCTGCCGCCCCCCCAAAGGCATGTACCTGACCCAGGAGGACGTGGTGGCCGTGTCCTGCAGCACCTCCGCAGCCAACACCCTCCTCCGTCAGCTGGACATGGAGCTGGTGTCCCTCAAGAGACAGGTAGGAGGCGCTACGACACGAAGAACCTTCTGGCAACCGAGCTGCCAGAAGGTTCTTTATTTATAATATAAATACTATATATATATATAGTATTTATATTATAAATAAATATATATACATATTATAAATAGTTATTTATATTTATATTATAAATATAGTTATTTATAATATAAATATAACTACTGTTACTGTTACTGTTACTGTACAGTAGTACAATTCTGTGTCACTACAGTTTTACTGTGTTTTGTAATTTGGTGTATTTCTGCTGTATTGCTGCTGTACTGTGAAATATCCAGTTATATTAAAATTGATATATTACTGTTAATTATAATAATTCATACTAATTATTACAACTATTATTAATTCTATTACGCCTAAAATTATTATTTCACAGCAGCTTTTTTTTTAAAACCTTGCAGGTTTGTTGTTTCGTTTTCAGGCATTTTGTTCTAATGAAATTAATGATAAATAATTTTCACTATTATATATAGTCACTTTTTTTAGCATAAATTATTAAATACAATATGATTGAGGACATTCGTGCAGCAGCAGGATATTAGACGGGCTTAGTGTTAGCATGCTAACATTAGAACGTTGCATACCTCAGTATGTCCTGTCTGATGTCTGTTCATGTTCCTGGTCCTCCTGGGCTGTGCTGCCACCTGCTGGTGATACCTGTGTTTCCTGTGTTTTGTTGAGTGTTTACGTCTCGTTGTTCAGGTGCAGAACGCCAAACAGATGAACAGCGGACTGAAACACGTACTGGAGTCTGGGATCGAAGAGTTCAGGCTGCCTGAGGTACAAACATAAAGAGGAGCTGCACCCAAACACATTCAAACTGTGAACTTTATTACTTATTACAGCTGTTTGTGTTGAGCGCTGATGAATCACCACTAGAGGGCAGTATCTTCACATCCTGTTCCTGTCTGTCGTTCTGTGTTGTCGCAGTGTAACCAGAAGGTGAACGCCCGCTGGACCACGGACGAGCAGCTCCTGGCTGTTCAAGGTGAGCTTCATCATTCACACTGACAGCAGGTAATGGGTCTGACCGTTCCTCTTCTTCCTCGCTGCTTCCCAGCCAGAGAAACTGCAGCGTGTTCCTGAGTGAAAGAGGTGGGATTAAAATGTTCCCAAAATGTGACAGAGACACAGGATACGGACTGTGTGACTACCACTGACAGTATATATCAGCAAAACAAGTAAATCTCTGTGGATCCACAAAACATATCAGAGTCAACAATAAAATGCTGATGTAATAAATACCAGTAAGGCAGCTCTATTTTCCTCCAAGACTTTCCTTTTTTTGGATCTGAAACTAGCTACACTGTGAAACAAAAATATATTTTATGGCAAAAAACTGGCAGAACTTTACCATAATATTACGATAAAAGGATTTTAGTTAAGTTGGAGATTTATTTCATATTCTTTATTTACCGTCATAGTTTTTATCATCGAAACATTTTCATTTGCCATATGAAACGTATAAAAAAAGGTTTCTGCCGCGAGATGTGACGTTTTCTTTAAAGAGTTATTCTGTGTGCTGTGAATCGATGGATGAAGCGTCTGCGATGTCCTTCCAGGTGTCAGGAAATACGGGAAAGACTTCCAGGCCATTGCCGACGTCATCGGCAACAAGACAGTGGGCCAGGTGAAGAACTTCTTTGTGAACTACCGGCGGCGGTTCAACCTGGATGAGGTGCTGCAGGAGTGGGAGGCTGAGCAGGGGACGCGAGCTCCCAACGGAGACAGCGCCACCTCTGGAGAGGAGGGGAAGAACAGCTCCACCACTCCGTCGGGGAAGAGCACCGACGAGGAGGATGAAGAGGTGAGACATGTTGGATCTGTTTTATGCTCCAGTCAGTCTTTGTTTTTAAGGCAGTGGTTCCCAACCTTTAATGGTCCAGTGTGTAAGATTTAGTGACATCTTGTGGTGTAGTTGCAGATTGCAACTCCTTCACTCTCCCCTCCCTTTTCAAGTGCAAGGAAGAAACTACGGTGGCCACGTGAAGCGTGAAGAAGTATTTCTGAGTATTTCTGAGCCAGTGTTTGGTTTGTGTGTTGTGGGCCACTGTAGAAACATGGTGTTTCAGGACCCGCTCCCTCTGTGGGTAACGATGTGCTGAATGTTACACACTGGACCTTTTTTAAAGGTGAATGATGCAGACTTGCAGTGAGGTAATTCTGGCCCCGCCCTCTCTTCTCTGCAGGGTCAGGTGACTTCCTCAGGTGCGTCTCCTGCTGCCTCCTCGTCTTCTTCAGCTCAGATTCCAGTGACTTCCAGCGCCTCCTCCTCTTCCCTCCATCAGCCCCCTCCCCTCCTGCGGCCCTCCCTCCCAGCCACGCCCTCCCTGCACCGCCAGCCGCCGCCCCTCCAACAGCAGGCCCGCTTCCTGCAGCCCCGCCCCACACTGCAGCAGCCGCCACCCCTAATCCGCCCCTCCAAACCCGCGTGCCCCCCCCCAACCACGCGCCTTCCCGCTCCAATGAATGACCCTCTGTGGCAACCCCGGGGGATCTGGTCTGAGCTCCACCCAGCAGCCTCCCGGCCTGGCTGTCCACCAATCAGAGACGGCCTCATCTTCCTCCCATTAACGAACGTCAGAGTTTCTGAAGAAGAAAGTCTGAAGCTGCTGCGTTCAGGTCCTGTGGGAAAATCTGACTTTATTGTGAAAAACAGCTTTTATACTCTCAACACACATGAATGAAACATTTACACTAAACAAAACAACCTTTGTTATCTGGTGAACATTTTTTTGTGTTTTAGGGGGTTGAAGTTCTTTCCCACAGGACTTACCTGCAGCGTAGCTGCTGGTTGATGGACACCTCGTTTTAAAATCTTTGTTTTGTAAAAGATTGTCAACCTTTTAAGTCATTAACAAATCCTCAGCAGAGATATGGCATCCCACAGGGTTCAATCCTGGGTCCCTTCTTTTTCTCCATCAGTTTGCCTCCTCTTCGACATAAAACACAAACCGGTAAAGCATTTTGAAGCCAGTGGTTTAGTCGCACTCATGAGCTAAATTGTTTTTATGTCTTTATCTTCCGGGGTTCACTACATGTGTACATTACTGCTGAAAACAAATATACCTGCTCCCCTTTGACCCATTGCTCTTTCCTGTAGTGCCACCATCAGGAAAAACTTTACATTTTTAGTTCCACTAGGGACTATTTTCAGCAGCGGATTAATCCGCATTCAGTGTTGTGAGGATGGAGCTCTATGGCACAGAGGAATATCAGGCTACTGCAGTTTATATGATCTGTGCTCACCCAAAATGGCGGCGTATCCATGGTAACCGGTAACCCGTCTGACAGTCACAACGTTTGTGTAACAGATGGAGATTAAACTGAAGGCCTCAGTGTACGGTAGCATTAACGTGTACAGTTTGAATCATTTGTAATCCATCCAATCAGCCGTCAGTAACTCGGTGACAAACAGCTGCTGCACGTTGGGTTTTATAGTTGATTTGATGTGTGTTAAAAACACTAAAGTTTCAGCCCCACCCCTTTTCCACAGAGGCAGTTTGAGAGCCGGTTCGGAGCCGGTGCCTAATCTCGAACCAGTTCTTCGCATTTCGACAGCCAAAGAACCGACTCTCTGCTAGAAACTGGTTCCAATGCAGCACCAACACTTGGTTAGTCTAGAACCCAGAACCTCTTCCATCAGGGGCTGGGGTCCAGCCAGCTGTGTATTTATTCATGTTATTTTATTGATAACTAATTTCTCACATTAATGTTAGAAATGTAACATTGAGCTAGTATGCTAGCGAGCTAGTTAGCTGTTGGTCAGCTAACATTATTCAAGCAAACATGGTTACTACATTTTGAAATTGATGTTTTGGTTGTAACATTGTTAAAAAGTTTAATGTTCAGGGTTCATAACATTGATGTGAGAAATTAGTAGCTGTGTTTGCTTGAATAATGTTAGCTGACCAACATAACCTAGCCGTAGCTAACATAGTGACGTAATGACGGGGCTCTAGCCTTCGGAAAAGCAAACCGGTGAAGGTTCCTGAGTGGAGGGATCTCTGAACCAGAACCAGCACTGGGTTCTGGTTGGTGGAAAGGGGGTACCACCAGACGTCCTTCAGTTTGTGTAAAGTCCAGACGATGTTCTCCGTCAGCCAAATGAAAACTGTTCCTTTACCTGTTGGGTTGAATTATTTTCCACGTGTTGAAACTTCTTTGTGTGTGTTTTCGTTATTTATTCTTCCTGGTGCTACAGATTTGGACTTGGTGTTAAAAAATTATTGTGAAAGTGCTCTTAATGCTTTTTGGGCGAACATGTATCACTGCGTTAAATGTATCTGGAGCCACAGAGTCTCACCCGGTCCTTTAGTTTCAGTAGAACCTGTAAAATGTTGCTGTAAAGACGAAGCTGCTGAGATGTTTCTGAGTTCTCATTAAAAACTACATTTGTACCATCGGACCGGTTCTGTGTGACTATTGATCAGACTGTGGAGGTTCCCCTAATAAAGTCTGATCATAACGCTTATTATTACTGCTGCTACTGCTATTATTATGCTATTATTATTGTTATTATTATTATTATTACTGCTATTATAATACTAATAACTTAAGTTAACTACATTAAGTTACTTTATTAGTTCATTTTACTATAGTTCATGTTGTCATCATTATATTATAATTGTATCATTATTTATATTAATGTCATTTATTATTATGATGATGATGATGATGATGATGTCGCTGTCTGCAGTAACAGCAGCAGGTTGTTAACTCACTTCCTGCTGTTAGAACTTCCTGTTCCGTCGCGGCGGCTGTATCGACCACAGATAATCGATACCGATCAGCAGTATCGATCTGCTGCGCTGTCGGTGTGGGGTGTTCGGAGGGACCGCGGAGGGATTCCTCGGACTGCGGTAAGAAGACTAAACTCTGTGTGTGTGTCCGCTGTCTGTCTGTCTGTCTGTGTGTGTGTGTGTGAAAGTGAAAGTAAAGCAGCACGCGCGGCTGATCACAGATCGATTGTTTTACTGTTCACGAGCCTCATTCAGACACTTTGATGTGCGTTATTGAGCGGTCTCCGCCGCGCTGATGCTGATCGATTATCAATAATCGATACACAGTCAGTACAGCCGGGCGCGTGCCTGTGTCCTCAGCACGTGCTGCTGCCGCGCTGTCAGTTGGACACTCACGCGGATCCAGTGTCGTCCAATCAGAACACTTCTCTGTGACTGATGACTGATTATTATTTGTTTAGGAGAATATTATTGATTATGAAATGAATCTGTTTAACCTAACAGACATCCAGCAGATGTGAAGTGAACCCTGAGTTCTACCTGCAGGGTTTCCTCTCACTTCCACCAATCAGAGGCTCTATGCAGCCTGTGAGGCACAGTGCAGGGAAGGTTAGCCAACAGTGTCTCATTAAACTGAATCCTCCTCGTGTCCCTCCTCCAGTCAACTTTAACTGCCTCTTTTCAAACATTCCCATCTGAATTAAAAAAGAAAAGAATAAAAATCTCCTGTTTGCTCTGCTCAGCCGACAGACTCATGGCAACCACAGACACTAAGCTGGGAGGATCCAAAGAGTCCAGTTTGCAGTCTGAGGAGTCCGTGATGTCCGAGGAGTCCAGGATGAGGTCGACGGGCCCCGTGTGGTCCTGGGAGTCGGAGCTGACCTCCATCCAGCACTCGCTGAAGTTTGTGCTGACACTGAAGGATGAGTTTGTTTGTCCTGTCTGTAGAGGAGTTGTGTTAAACCCTCAGCAGAACTCCTGTGGACACATCTACTGCTTCCACTGCCTGCAAGGCCTGCTGTAGGTGCAGTCCACCTTAAATACACTCACACTGTCAGTCCACCTTAAATACACTCACACTGTCAGTCCACCTACACACTCACACTGTCACCGTCCACCTTAAACAGACTGACACAGTCCACCTTAAACAGACTGTCACAGACCACCTTAAAACACACTCACACTGTCACAGTCCACCTTAAAACACACTGACACAGTCCACCTTTAAACACACTCACACCGATGTGGTCCACCTTAAAATACAGTCCACCTTAAACGTGGCCCAGGTTAGGTGATGTGTGATCAGTCCACTTTGTGTTTCAGGGAGGCTTCGTCCAGTCCAGCGTGTCCAGTGGACGGAGCCGTGATCACACCAGCGGAGGTAAACTAAAGCATTATGGTCTGT